CTACCAGAGGCAGAGGATTCCCCAATCTTAAGCCTTTCTGGGCCTGCTCTTGTCATCCTAACATGCTTCCCCGGATGAGTCTGGTCTGCATTTGGCTGGGCCTTCACAGGTGCCCATAGAAATGATTCCTGAAGAGCTGGGAGGGCCATTGAGGACCTTCTAAGTCAGCCTGTGCCTGAGTACAAAGTCCCTCTACAGCAGCAGGATAAGCGGTCCTCCATCTTTTGGATACTGCCAGTGAGAAGGAGCATAGCCTTTCCAGCCCGGCTGATGTCACTTTTAAAAGGTCAGAGGGACAGGAAGTTTTCCCTTATTTTGAAGTGAAGTCTGCTTCTCAGTCACTTCTGCCAACTCTTCCCAGTTCCACTGATGGGGCTAAGCAGCATGACTCTCTTTTCCTGAAGCACACAGTCCTTTGAATGGCCAAAGCCAGCGAGCACATCTTCCCCCACCTCAGTCATCCCAGGCTAACCTTGCCCTGTTCCTTCACTGTCCTGATTGACCCTCTCTGGATGCTGTTCATAGAAGAAGCATCTTTCCTAAGTCTCCGGGACCATATCGCCTCAGTGATAGTCTGGCCAGGACATTGGACAGCAGGATTCTCACCAGCTTCATTTGGATGCTACATCTTCAGCAGATGCTCAATGTGAGTCAAAATGGTGACTCGCACTGAGCTTCCATGGGGGGGGGAAGGGTTCCCCTAAATCTCCAGAGCTTCTCATCCGATTGCCAAGTTCCCCCTCCACCATCTTGTACTTAGGAAGTCAAGCTATTGACCCCTAAGCATCACGGGTCTTTCCGGAGAGCGAGAGCTGGCTTGGCAGGAGGGAAGCCCTGGGTTGAGGTCCATGCTCTGCACACGATGCATTCAGATCACTCCGAATCTCAGTGCCCCAGGCAGCTCTCTAAGACAAGTCGCAGAACAGGTCCTACTCTGCGTTTGTCGAGGGACTTTCCTCGTAGAAAATTCCTTATGCCATTCAAATCATAGGCAGACGTGACGAAAAAGATACAAACAAAAAAACCCCTATCTAATTCAATTCAGCCCAACCCTCTGGCAAGAAAGCCAGGGAAAAAATAATTCTTTCATTTTAGGGAAAAGGTTACTGTAAGACACCAAGTCCAGCAAACAGAAAAGACTGTGCAGGCTGGGACCTGGGTTCAAAGCTTAGCTCAGCTACTTCCTACTTTGTGACCTGGGTCAACACTCTGAATTTCCCTTGGCCTGTTTCCTCTTCTGTTATGTGAGGTGGATGGAAGAGATGGTGGATGGCCTTGCAGGTCCCTTCTAGCTCTGAATAATCTATTGATCCTATGCAATTACAGATGTTTTATGACAGAACATTCCCTGTCTCCCACTTCCAAGTTTTTGTACAGGCTGTCTCTTGGGTCTATAACATGCCTCCTCCTCAGCTCCATCTCTTAGGATTCCTACTTCCCCTCAAGGCAGAGCTTAAGCACTGTCTCCTACATGAAGACCTCTGTGGTTCTTGATGTTAATTCTCTCCTCACCCCAAAATTGCCTTGCATTTATATATAATTTATATTTGTTGTTGTTTTTCAGTTAGTTTTTCAGTCATGTATACTCTTTGTGATCCTGTTTGGGGTTTCCTTGGAGTTTCCTTCCAGAGTGGTTTGCCATTTCCTTCTCCAGCTGATTTTACAGATGAGGAAACTGAGGCAAACTGAGTGAAGTGATTTGCCCAGGGTCACACAGCTAGTAAGTGTCTGATTTGAACTCAGATCTTCCTGACTCCAGGCCAGCTCTCTATCCATGATGCCACCTAGCTGCCCAAGAATTTATAGGAGGTAGCTTGGAAGAATGGACAAAGAGTTGGTCTCCGAACCAAGACCCCACCTCTGACACATACCGGCTGGGTGAGCCCTGGTAAATCACTTTGGTTCTCAGTGGGGCAGCCTGCTATGATGAAAAATGTCATAAAAGGTGCCAACCTCCATGAGCAGAAGGACTTTCTTTCTCTGGGAGCTCCCCAGGTTCAGCTCCTTCCTTGTTGTGTCCACCCAATAGAATAGAACGTCCTTGAGGGCAGGGACGAATTCACCTTTGTCTTTCTATCCCCAGATGTAGCACAGTGCCTGGCACAGAGGAAACGTTAACATGTGTTTGTGGGATTGATTCGAATTTCTAAAAAGCCATTGGAAAAACTTAGGTTGGAGGTAGTAGAGCTTCATGATTCTTAAAACAGCTGGCTGAACCCGTGGGACCAGCAGGAAGGTGAACCCTCCTTCTGAAATGTGCCAGGAGACCCAGGACAGGCCCTGGGCTCTGTCCTCCTTCCCCAGACTCTCATCGATCTCGCACTCACATGGGCTGTCCACTTGCAGACGTCATCTGTCTTAGCACTGTCAGGTTCTTGGAGCTCCCAAGGGTTCCCTCTAACCTCCAAACCACTAGGTTTTTCCTGGGATGGTTTTTCCCTCAATTCTGACCCACTTTCCAGAAGCTCTCACAGCTCTGAAATGACTTCAGAAAGGTGTTACAGCCTGGACCCCAGTGAGGTCATCAGGCTTTTAAGCTCAGCTTCAGAGGAGAGAGAGACAGCAAAGCACGCCACTTTAGGTAAATACAGCAGCTCTGCCAGCCCACAGAATCAAGCCTTGGCCTGTGGAAGGGCCCAAGGCTTCCAACAAGCAATTAAAATCACAGCCACGCTCCAGCCGTGGCCTGAAAGAGGTATGTGGTGCCAACTCAGTTTTAATCAAATGTGTACTAGAAAGTAATCGATTTCCCCATCTCCGTCTCTCTCTGTTTCGATATCTCTGTCTTTTGTCTGTCTCTATCTCTTATCTATCTCTATATCTGTGTCTCTCTATTTCTGTCTTTCTCTGTGTCTGTGTCTATCTGTCTCCCCTCCCCCAGAGCTATATACCCAGCCCAGTCTTTCCTGAGCTCCAGCACCCCACCGCTGGTCACCTATTACATGTTTATAACTGCATGTCCAGCAGGCATCCCCAAACTCAATATAAACAAAGTAGAACAAATTCACTTTCCCCCCAAACGAATCTTTCTCCTGAACTTTCCTGTGATTGCCAAGAGAGTCACCTACTTTCGACCCCACAGGGTCACAGCCTCAGGGCCATGCTTGACTCTTTCCTCCCCCTCACCCACCCACCCAACCAGGGGCCAGATCTTGTCCCTGTTGCCTCTAACCCCTCTCTCCTCCAGATCGCCTTCTCTCCCTCACACAGCTCACATTCTTCACCCATCCCCTGGTCTAGGCCAAGGGCTTCCTCTGGGGTATCTCTGCTTCAGGCATCTCCACTCTCCAGTCCTTCACTCAGCTGCCAGAGGTTTTCCTTAACTGTAGGCCTGACCATATCACCCCCCAAATGAATAAACTCCTATCTCCCTCTTAGCTTTTGGATCAAATAGAAATGACTTTGGTGGCTTTTAGAAACCTTCCCCAAGTGGCCCCTCCCCACCTTTCCCATCTTCTTCTACTTTCCTCCTCTTCTCTCACATTCAGGTGCACACACATACAGGTAAGCCTCTTGAGAGAGCAGGAACTGTTTTACGATTGGCTTTGTGTTTCCAGTGTAGAGGCTGGTATACTGTAGGTACTTAATACATACTTACTGATTACTCTGAATGTATGAATCCTCTCCAAGAGAGCCCTTAATTCTCTAACATCCTCAGAGTCTGTTCACTTTTGGGGCCATATCTGATTTTTAAGTAATCTCTAACATCAGAGGGGAAGGAAATTCCATCCCCTTTTTTGTCCCATTAAAAAAGCACAGACATACACATACCTTGGCTATGTGACTTTTCAATGCCTCTGGAAGTTCTAAGACGGAGGTCCCCATAATATAGAATTAGACACTTAGTGTTAGAAGGGCCCTTAGAGATTATCTAACCCAAGGGCCTCATTTTACAGATGAGGAAATTGAGATACAGATTAGGGGAAATGACTTGTCTAAGATCACATTAATCATTAAGTGGCAGAGCCACGATTAATACCTTTGTCTGCTGGTACTGTCTCCCTGATCTTATACAAGCTACCAGTAAATGTGTATGTCTCGACCAAAAAATCAAAAAAATAAATTTTATGGATGTATTTGTACAACCTAATAGATTTTTCTTTTTTCCCAAAGATCTCAATTTCAGTCACTGATTTTGCTTTAGTGGAAGTAGAGGCCCATGCACCACGGGGTAGTAGAAAGTATATCGGGCCACAAGTCCTATTAAAATCCCAGTGTTGCCATTTACTAACTGGGTGGGTATGATTCATCTTTATGAGTTCAAATCTGACCTTAGACACTTACTAGCTGTGTGACCTTGAGCATGTCATTTAACCCTGTTTGTCTCAATTTCCTCATCTGTAAAATGAGCTGGAGAAAGAAGCAGCAAACCACTCCAGTATCTTTGTCTAAGAACCCCCCACTCCACCTCTGTAAATGGGGTCATGAAGAGTTGCACAGGACAGGGAAAAAAAACTGTGTGGTCTTAGGTCAATTCCATTCTCTCCCACCCTCCTCATGTATAAAATGAGGATGAATCACAACTTCACAGCCTGTATTTCTTGTCCAATTTCCTACCAAATGAGGAGATTACATGAGCCAGTCTCTAAGGTCCTTCCTAGCTCTTTATCTGCACTGCTAACAGGGACTGGACTAGCCTCAAAGGTCTCTTCCAGATGTAAATCATGCCCTCAGAGGGATTTTTAAAGGGCATTTAAAGCATCCAGTAGAGGACATGACCCGAGGGGCTCATCTCCATAAGACTCCTCCAATTACTCCAACAGCTGAGGACTTCTTCAGATTCACCATTTCAGGATCAGCAGGGCAGTGACAATAGAGATTTCTTTCAAAGATCTTTTAAGGAAAAAAAAAAGTGGTTCAGCCCGCCCAGAGTTAATGGTTAACCATGGATCGGGAAACAGACTTGGAGACCGAGTCCAGCCCCACAGTTTGATAAATGAAGAAAAGGAAGCCAAGAGAAACAATTGGAGAAATCACGAAAAGGACAAATGTACCAACGCTTGATTGTATAAATAATTTATTTCCGTTCACAGCATCATGTTTGCATCATAAAAAAGAAAAAAAGGAACCAAAAAGGACAATTAGAACATAGAGGACTGGGTTAGGAGTGGGGAAATGAAAAATGAAGAGGCAGCAAGGCGTTTTTCTTGGATTCTAACATTTAAACAGACAAAAAAAAAAACTTGAGTGAATGAGGTCTGCCACCAAACCGGCATCCCTGCTTGTCTCCTGGTAACCATTGGAAAGCTTCATTGGAGAGGCAGTCCTCCAAAGCAGACCCCCGCCTTCATTCTTTCAGGGGTTAACACCGTGAAGCATCCCTAAATCTGTAGTGGCCCCTAGCAAGGAAGTTTCTCTTCCAATCCCAAGGGGAAAGTAACACCACACTTGGGGTTAAAGGGTCTGTGAGGAGGGAGGCCAAAACATGACAGAAACAACAGAAATTCTGGGCCATGAGTTCGTCATGGATGGCGTTTCAGAACTAGACATTCTGACTGCCCTCAGGCCCTCAATCAGTCTTGACAAAGACCAAAAATTCTGCTCAGAGGTTCTGGAAAGCAAGGCAAGATTGGGTCTGAAGACTTGTCTTAAAACTTAACTCCAGGGAGCATCACACCATATTTGGCTTCTGCAGGGTCACAAAATAAATATATTATTTGTCTCCTAAGCGTGGAGCTAACAAATCTCAAAGTGCTTAATAAGAAACTGCGGCATGTGAAGAAACGAAAAGAAAAGATTAAAAACAAAAAACGAAAAACCACAGACACACAAACAACAAATCTCTACACACACAGTTTCCTTACATGATGGGACCAGCCCATTCAGAACTCAGCGAACAAGGAAGTGAATTATGACTGTGTAAACGGGAACTCATAAGCCTTCTCCATCCTGCCTGGTTTCCAGTTGATCTCTGCTAGGCTTCAAGAAAAGAAGACCAGCTGGGGAAAGGTGCCACCATTCCTGTCCCAAATTAAAAGGAGTCAGCTCTCTCTAATAGCTATAAGAATTGCATTGGAAGCAAAAAACCAATACTGCAATCTGGAGTTTGTTCTAAAGTGAGTTTGTGGAAAGCAATGGATAAAGAGGCCTGGCCTTAGGATTTATTTAGAGACACATTCCCATGCTCAAACCTGATAGTGGCCAATTTCCAAATGACTCCCTTGTTAGGAAATTCTCAAAAGGGGGAGGGAGGGCGGAGGACAATTACCCCAGTAAACATGGCTTCAAAGAGGAAATCAAATTCCCAAGTCTGAAGTCTCCCTTCGGACAATACTGCACTTCTGTGTAAAATGACCAGCATCCTGCAACCAAGACTCCCCGTCCTGATTATAAACCATTTATTTCTTTTAAAAAAAAAGTCTTATTAAAAATACTTAACTCTTTGTTTTTCTTTCCCCTTCAGCTTGACTGTTCTCCCAATCCTCCCTGGGCACCTGCTAGCCCACAGATGACATCATGCCCCAAGCTTCCTCCCACCTTGAGCTCTCTGGGGAATCTCATCTACCACACTGGGGTTCAGCTGTGGACCAAAGTAATAGCTGCAGCAGCAGGCCAGTTTAGACAGGAATTTTATAAGCAAGGACCTAGGTCATTGTGCTTTGAAATCCATGCAGTCAGGTGGGCTTTTGCAAGACAAATGGGCTTGGGGGGTGGGGGGGAACAGGGTGCATCATAGCAAGTACTATAATGAGACAATTTTGTGGAGTTTCTTACATTGGACAGGCTACAGTGAACCTCATTAAATAACCCCAACGGTCTCCACTTGCAGAGTAATATGATATAAAGGGGCACGACAAAGCCTTTTCTCACTTTTTTTTTTAAATGAAAAGATAATCAGAGAACCCTTTATCACCCAGTTCACATGACAAGAGGCAAGCCTTGCAAAAATCATCCTCAATGCAGCCTACAGCTGCCGTTAGATCCTAAAACCAGCCACGGGCCGGGCAGGCGCTGCTAGCTTGCAAACCAGCCAGTTGGCCAGTCAACAGACCTTTAAATCCCACGCGGATGGACCCAGATATTTGTGCCCATCATAGCATACCTAGGGGATCCCCTTCAGCCCCTTCCCATCCAGCCAGAATAACAAGTCTCCCATCTGAATACCCCTAACCAGATTTCCGGCAATAAATGGACCGTCGACCACCCCCACCCGGCAACTGTTTCTTAATTGTTACTGGTTTCTTTGTTTGTGGGATAATGACCTGCACATGGGCTAGATACAAACCACGGCGAAGATGCCGGACCTGGGGGGGGGGGGAGCGGGGATGAAAGGCAGTTTTCATCCTGTAAAAGAAACGGGCGTTTTCTACAGTGGTTTTCCCTTGACCAGGCTTTTGGCTGGGTTTCCAGTGATCCAAGTCTGCTATGCGGCAGCAGGAAGTCCCCCCAAACAGACATCCATCCACCTTGCTAGGGCCCAGGGCAGGAGCAAAGGAATAATAGCAAACAGGGACCTGCCCTGTTCCACGAAAAGCATTCTCAATACCCGGCTGGGCTGGCCCATCAATCCACACAGCCGCTGGAATTGCCCGCCCATGACCCTTTCTCTGGGCAGAGAGCTTGGAGGCGACGTGACCTCGGTACCTCTAAGAACCCACAGGTGCAACTGGCTTTGGGGGAGGGGCAAGGAAGCCCAACTTCTTCATTCTGCTGGAGAGTTTCAAGGCAGGAGGCCTTCCTCCCAGGGCCCTCTAAGCCATCCTCCACTTCTCACCAGGAGGGCGGACCCAGCAGGTTGCAACCCCTAAGCCCCATCCCCCACCCCTCCCAGTCCTCTGCCTCCAGTCTCCTCCCCCTCCTCCAAGCCCGTGGGAAAGGGGGGAGATCAAACAAAAGACCTTTCCAGCAGACAGGCAGGCAGCCCACCAGGGGGATGGGCGCTCATTCTGCCGGCCTTTCTCTCCACTCGCCTGGCCTGCTGTGGGGCTGGTGACCAACCTGTCCCAGGCTGACAAGTCAGAATCCGGGGCGGGGAGGGCAGTCCCAGGACTCCGGGGTTCCCGCTCACTGTTGCTGGCTATCAATAGAGTTCTATTCTCGTTTGGAAAACTCGACGCGTCGCTTTGGTTCTCGTTTCTGGGTTCCTCGGTGGGTGGGAGTGGGTGTGTGCCGGAGGGGAGCGGGGCGGGGAGGGGGATGGGTGCCGGGGCTGGAGCAGGGGAAGGCAGGGTGCTTCTGCCCCCGGTGGGGGCCAGGTTCCGGGGGGGGGCCGCTCCTCTATCGCTTCTTCTTCTGCTTGAGGGACTTCCTTCGCTTGAGGATCATCTCGTACAGCTTGTCCATGCCCTCGGTGAGGCCCTCTCCGATGATGGCGCAGGCGGGCTGGACGTGGTAGGTGGTGGCCGGCACGAGCTCGGGCAGGGCCAGCTGCTTCTCGATCTCGGCCACGGGCAGCGACTTGGGCAGGTCCTGCTTGTTGGCGATGACGAGCAGCGGGGTGCCCTGGTTCTCGGCGAATTTCGTCACCTTGTGCAGCTCAGTCTTGGCCTCCTCCAGCCGGTCCACGTCCACCGAGTCCACCACGTAGATGATGCCGTCCGTGCAGCGGCTGTACGACTTCCAGAGCGGCCGCAGCTTCTCCTGGCCGCCCACGTCCCAGAAGTGACAGCTGATGCCCTTCGCCGTCCCGTTGCTCAGTTTAATCTTCTCCGTGTTGAAGCCTATCGTGGGCACCGTATTGACAAACTCGTTGAACTTGAGGCGGTAGAGGACCGTGGTCTTGCCCGCCGAGTCGAGCCCCAGCATCACGATGTGCAGGGACTGGAAGGCGGAGATGTTGGACGAGATGTTTCCCATGACGCTGGCCAGGACAGCAGCGGCGGCGGCGGCCAAGGCGCCCTCGGACAGCGCCGGGGGCCAGGGGCCAGGGGTAGGGGCGGGGAGGTGCCCTCTTCAAGGGGCAAGCCCGTGGCGGGCCAGCAGTGGGCGGGCGGGCGGCCAGCCCCCTCCCTCTCCTCCTCCTCGCTCTCCCCTCCTCCCTTTCCTCCTCCTTCTTCTCCCCTCCTCCTCCTCCTCTCTCTTCCCTCCTCCTCCTCCTCCTCCTCCTCCTCGTCCTGCTCCTGATCAGGCTCCTGCCTGCCAGGGAGAGACTGAGGGTCACCTCTCAGGTCCTTGCCCCGGGAGGGCGCACGGGCATCTCCAGGGACCCCGGCGGTGGGCGCGGCTGGGGAGTGGGTGAGGGAGCTCAGGGCCCGCCACAGCGCCCTCGAACCGGGGCGCCCCAGCCCAGCCCGAACTCCATGGGCATCTCTCTCCGCCTGGCCGCGCACTGCTCCCTGTTACGGCGGCTTTTGTCTGCCTGTGGTCCACCGGGCGGGGCGGGAGCTCTGGCTTGGATCCGATGCGCGGGGGGAGTCACTTCTCAGACAAGGGCGAAGAAGGAGGGGGGATGTTCTTGTGTTGGGGAGACAATGGAGGGGTGGGAGTCTCCTCTACCCGCTGGATAGAGCTCCGGATAGAGACGCGGCCGGGCACTGCGCCTCCGACTCCCCGGGCCAAAGACCAGCTCTCCGGACTGCGGCGGTTTGATCCTCCAGCGGCACACGCCCCCTGCCCGCGCGGCTCCCGTTCTGGTTCTGCGGGCTCACGTCCAGGCTCTCGGCGGGGTCTGCAGAAGCTGGGGGGCGCGGTGCATTCCCAGGAGCTCAGCGCGAGCCGCCCCCCACGGCTGCTTCTCGGGCGGCGCCGCGGCTGTCTCCGCAGGCCGGCCCGGCCCTCTGCGGCCCCGCTGTTCGACTGGCTGGTCGGTTCTCCCCGCGGGCGGCCCGGCCGAAGCGCGGTTGCTGCTGTGCTGCTCCCGGGCAAGGCTTGGCTCTTCTAGGCTGGTGGAATCTAGCCCAGCTGCAGCTCCGGCCGCGCGCGCGACTCCTCCCCCTCTGGCGCGCGGGCACAGCCCCTGCCAGACACCCCGACTGGGCGGGGCTATTGGGAGAGGCGGGCCCTCGGAAGGAGGGGGGGGGGCCGTCAACCCTCAGTCCCTCCCTCGCTCGCTCCCTCTGTCCTCGCCTGAGCTCCAGAGCCCGCGCTGGCCTGGGAGCGGGGGCTGCATTCACCAGCTGGCCACCTCCTGGATCTGGGTCTGCAGGCGCCCTCCCTTAATTCCCCACCCCCAGACCCAGGAGTCCAAGAACTGGAGTCCTTGTCCCCATCTTCGCCCATTTCCCCATCCCCCGGTCCTCTTTCCAGCTCTCTCTCTCTCTCTCTCTCTCTCTCTCTCTCTCTCTCTCTCTCTCTCTCTCTCTCTCTCTCTCACACACACACACACACACACACACACACACACACACACACCACACACACACACACACACACACACACAGCCTGGCGCATCGGCTACCAAGCACTCAGACGGCCAGTGGGCACCCTCCCCGAGTCTGGAAGCCGAGGCTCCGGCCACCGCCCTTGGCCTTAGGGAGGGAGGTCTGAAACCCAGCGTCCGGACCATCTGAGCTCCTAGCCCCATTCTCCTCCCTCCAGTCCAGGCTAGGCCCGCTCTGTCCCCAGAGCTAGCCCAGTCCCACCCCTCAGCAGGCAGGAACCCTGAAGGTGCTTCCACCACCCCCAGCCTAGCCCAGATAGCGCGGACCCTGGTGGGGGTGGAGTGGGAGAGGCCCTAAGGCTTGATGTTAGGACAAAGTCCAATTAGGGACAAGTCCTGGGCCTAGGATCCTAGATTGAGCTCTAGAGGGGTCCATCCCCTTAATTTTGGAAGGAAGGGAGGAAGATCATTCTTCATTCATTCCTTCATTTGTTAATAGTAGTAGCAGTAAGGATAATATGTTTACTATTACTAATGCTTATTACATTTATTCAGTTGCTTACTACATGCCATGCATTGTGCCAAGAGCAGGAAATGGGTCTGTGGAGTGACTTGTCCAAGGTGACAGGGCTCAAATATGAGAGAGCCTTAGGCCATAAAATACAGCATGGTGTCCCAGCCTTTGAGCTGGCCCAGGTCCCCCCATCCAGGGACTCAGTCATTTTTGTGTGTCCTAGACTTCCCCTCTCCTCTTGGCAGTCAGGGGGGAGGCTTATGGTCCTCTCCTGGTTTTTAAAAACACACAATAAAATACAAAGGCGTGCAGAGGAAACCGAAGGTGAAAGCAAAAGGAAGGTGTGTTTTCTTGGCCATTTCTAGGCATTCCTGTGGTCCTAGGCCAAGGGCTCAGAACTCTCCTTGGTCCATGCTGCTTACCTGGAATGAGGGGAGTGAGGCCCAGAGTTCTAGAGCTAAAGACACTTAGTCCAGCCCCTTGTTTTATAGTTAAGAAAAATGAGACCCAGAGAAAGGAAATTCCCTCCCAAAGCTCCTATGCAGTGAGTGATAGAACGGAGGTTTGAGCCTGAGTCATCTGCCCCTCCCCCACCCCACCTAAAAAATCTCTGGGGTGGACCCCTGGGAAAGAGGACTTTATTTAGACCAAGAGGACCCAGGTCACAATTCTGCTTTTGCCACATAGTTCGTGTGTAAGTGACCCCACCTCCTTCCTGGGCCTCAGTTTCACCATCTGCAAAATAGCGCAGTTAAACTAGATGATGTCTCGGGTGCCTTCCCACTTTAGATTCTGTAGGACTAGTGAGGGGGTAAAAGAACCTCGGCTAGGACTAGGTTTTGGCAGGTAGGTGGCACAGGGGATAGAGAGACCGGCCTGGAGTCAGGAGAGTTCAAATCTGGCTTCAGACACTTCCAAGGTGTGTGACCCTGGGCAAGTCACTTCACCCTGTTTGCCTCAGTTTCCTCATCTGTAAAATGAGCTGGAGAAAGAAATGGCAACCCGATCCAATATCTCTGGATACTGGAAAACCCCAAATGGGGAAACAAAGAGTCGGACAGGACTGAAAAATAACAACAAGGAGCTATAGATTTAGAACTGGAAGGGACCTGGAAGATTACCTAACCCAACCCCATCATGTTATAGGAGAGCAAACTAAACTAGAGGCCAGAGGTGGGAAACAGGTTGGCCAAGGTCATGGGCAGTGAGTGGGGGAGCTGAGACTGGAAGCCCAGCCTTCTGACACCAGTGCACTGTCACTCTTTGCACTGTGAGCTCTGTTCCACAGGACAGCAGGACAGTGGGGAGCTTTCTTTCAATAGGAAAGATTGCTGCCTTTATTTCTAAACCAGAAACATTCTTCCCCTTCCCAGAACAGCCCCAACCCATAGCAGGAGGTTTAAAAAAAAGTGAGGATAAAACCACATTTATTATCAGGGGGCCTTTGAATGCCAACTGGAATGGCCAGCCCAAAGCTGTGCTCTGAGAAGGTGTCAGTGGGCCTGTGAAGCTTGCCCACCTGCAGGCTCCAGAGACAGCTGCCCTTTGGATGCTGTCTCTGGCTCAAAGCTCACTTGGCCCTGTGGGAAACTTACTGGCCCAACTCCTCATCTCTCAGTTTCTCCCAGTTTCAGGACTGGTTCAGAGATTAGGTGGTACTTTTTTGTATTGCAAATCTGGCTTCTTCAGAACTGAACTGTGTCTTGTAATCGGTGACTTGTTGAAGCATATACGTATATAGATTTCTTCTTTAAAGAAATCTAACCGGGAGGGTGGATTACTTTTATACTCTTTGGACATGTAAGGAAAATGCCCACTGCCAATCCTGATGGGAACCCGCTGTACATGACGGAGTGCTTAGGGCTGAGGCAGGTGACTTGTCCAGGCTCACTCAACCAATATAGATCAGAGGCAGAATTTGACCTCAGATTCTCCTTACTGTGGCTCTGTATCCAGTCCTCCACTGCTACCTCAGTGTACGAAAGAGAAAACCAGACAGCTCTTCTCCCATCATCCTCGACCATTCATCCCTGTGATCACCACAGCTGCTCCATTCCCTTTTCCTTCCCCTTCCCCCTGGGTCACCCAGCTAAGGGGTACAAGGTCAATCAGAGTCTTCCTGACTCCAGGTCTAGAGTTGGCCTCCCTCAAAAACTCTACTGGGCTACAGAAATGGAAGACATTAATTATTTTAATGAATGAATACATCTCCTAGTTATCCCCATCCAAAAATAAGAAACAATCTCACCTCCTACATAAACTCCCAACTTACAAGGCAAGAAACAGAGAGAGGGAAGAATGATGTTGTTGGAATGACCCAGGAAGTTCAAAGTCGTTTTTGTTTTTTTTTTTTTAGTTCTATTATAAACCTAGTAATTTTCTATCAAAACAAGTGTTCCGGTAAACCAAGAAAAATAACAAAGGATCTGAAGCTCCATTATTCACAATCAGATTTTCAGATGTGTCCATTCACTTTAACAAAAATGTTGCCGGGCGCTCCCAACTTTCTTCATCACTTCTGTCTGGTCTCCCTGTTTTTCCTTCTTATTCCTTAGCTTGGTCACTTCTGGTCGGTTCATACAACCCCAGTTTGCTCAGCCAGTGCTCGGGGTTGGACATGTAGGTGTTTCCAGTCACATGCATACATATGTGTGTATATGTACATATGTGTACATGTATTTGCTTTTACAACTATTACTGCTGGGAAATAATTGCATACAGCGAGGACCTGTCAGTAAGATCATAGGTTTTCAGATTTACAGCCAGAAGGGACCTCACAGGCCATCCAAGCCTCCCTCTCATTTTATGGAAGAGAAGACAGACCCAGGAAGGTCATGGAGTTTGGCCAAGGTCCCATAGTTGGTAAGAAGCAAACCAGGAATGGAAACCAGACCATCTGACCCAGGGCCAGTGATGTCCCTTCTGACCCCCAAGTTCAATTCAGTGACATCTACTGGCCTGCACGGTTTTTACCAAGCAAGTAAATAAATGAATTAATTAAGGAGGAAAGGAAGGAATGAACCAGCCAACAGCCAAAAGAACTGACCTGTACCCAGTTTTAAGAAATCTGGGTAAGTGGAGAAAAATACATTTTGGAACAATTGTAAAGGAGGACCCATTCAATTCAAGCATTGACTGATTAATTATTGCCTCCTATGTGCCAGGCACTATGCCAGGTGCTGGGGATACAGAGACAAAACAAAACTGGAGGAGGGAGCGGGTATGCAATCTGCAC